ACGGCGCCCCCCGGGGCCCCTGCCCCCGCCACAGGGAAGGAGCCAGGCAGCCAGTTGCTCTGGACAGACTGGGAGAAAAGCCAGTGGGGATAGAGCGAGAGCGAAACAAACCAATTACTGCTCTGTCTACACTGCTGGGTTTCTGTGCAAGAAGCCTTTTGTGGAAGAGTTCTATGCAAAAGCCTCTTGCGCAAAAGCATGTCCGCGAGGTTCATCTCTTTTGCGCGAGAGCGCGTCCACACTGCCATGGACACCCTTGCGCAGGAAAGCTCTGTTTGCCATTCACAGAATGGCCGTCGTACCACCTGTGCTTTTACGGATCGGCTCTTTTTGCGCAAGAAACCCTGGGGAGCATCCACACCTGCCTTTTTGCGCAAGAGCTGTAGCGCAAAAAGGAAATCTGGCTCGTAGAAGGAGGTGTACCTACACCGCCGAAAGCCTCTGTTCTGGCGACTGGCGAGTCTTGCGCAAAAAGGTGCTTGAAGTGTGGACACGCCGCACGTTTTGTGCAAAACCCTTGTCGTGTAGACGTAGCCAGAGCAAAGCAAACGAGGTCGGGTCATTTCTCGCGCTCTCCGCAATCAGCGTAGTTTGCCCTCTCCGGGTCGCGAGTGGGAGAAAGCAGGCGTCAGAGCGCAGCCGTCCCCAGGCCTAGTCTGGGTTGCCATGCACGGGGGAGCTGGCGCGTCCAGAGGTTCCTTGGCTGGGGATCTGCCGCTTTGGGATGTTGCCATCCCCGCGCCTACGTCCCTCCCTCATCGAAAGGCGCTTTCCTGGCCGCAAGCAGCTGGTCGTCCCTTGGGTTTGGAGAGTTAAAATAAACAAGCTCACCAGGAACCGGAACCGGAGCTGGTGACTTATTTACAAAACTCAATGTGCATCATCAGTGTAAATCAATTGCTCAAAAAACATTGCCCAGTACGCCTCCTGGCCCCGGTGTGCCCCGGTACGCCTCCTGGCCCCGGTACGCCTCCTGGCCCCGGTACGCCTCCTGGCCCCGGTACGCCTCCTGGCCCCGGTACGCCTCCTGGCCCCGGTACGCCTCCTGGCCCCGGTACGCCTCCTGGCCCCGGTACGCCTCCTGGCCCCGGTACGCCTCCTGGCCCCGGTACGCCTCCTGGCCCCGGTACGCCTCCTGGCCCCGGTACGCCTCCTGGCCCCGGTACGCCTCCTGGCCCCGGTACGCCTCCTGGCCCCGGTACGCCTCCTGGCCCCGGTACGCCTCCTGGCCCCGGTACGCCTCCTGGCCCCGGTACGCCTCCTGGCCCCGGTACGCCTCCTGGCCCCGGTACGCCTCCTGGCCCCGGTACGCCTCCTGGCCCCGGTACGCCTCCTGGCCCCGGTACGCCTCCTGGCCCCGGTACGCCTCCTGGCCCCGGTACGCCTCCTGGCCCCGGTACGCCTCCTGGCCCCGGTACGCCTCCTGGCCCCGGTACGCCTCCTGGCCCCGGTACGCCTCCTGGCCCCGGTACGCCTCCTGGCCCCGGTACGCCTCCTGGCCCCGGTACGCCTCCTGGCCCCGGTACGCCTCCTGGCCCCGGTACGCCTCCTGGCCCCGGTACGCCTCCTGGCCCCGGTACGCCTCCTGGCCCCGGTACGCCTCCTGGCCCCGGTACGCCTCCTGGCCCCGGTACGCCTCCTGGCCCCGGTACGCCTCCTGGCCCCGGTACGCCTCCTGGCCCCGGTACGCCTCCTGGCCCCGGTACGCCTCCTGGCCCCGGTACGCCTCCTGGCCCCGGTACGCCTCCTGGCCCCGGTACGCCTCCTGGCCCCGGTACGCCTCCTGGCCCCGGTACGCCTCCTGGCCCCGGTACGCCTCCTGGCCCCGGTACGCCTCCTGGCCCCGGTACGCCTCCTGGCCCCGGTACGCCTCCTGGCCCCGGTACGCCTCCTGGCCCCGGTACGCCTCCTGGCCCCGGTACGCCTCCTGGCCCCGGTACGCCTCCTGGCCCCGGTACGCCTCCTGGCCCCGGTACGCCTCCTGGCCCCGGTACGCCTCCTGGCCCCGGTACGCCTCCTGGCCCCGGTACGCCTCCTGGCCCCGGTACGCCTCCTGGCCCCGGTACGCCTCCTGGCCCCGGTACGCCTCCTGGCCCCGGTACGCCTCCTGGCCCCGGTACGCCTCCTGGCCCCGGTACGCCTCCTGGCCCCGGTACGCCTCCTGGCCCCGGTGTGCCCCGGTACATCTCCTGGTCCCGGTACGCCTCCTGGCCCTGGGTTTGCTACAAAAACTGGCCGAGCGCTGCACAATGCTGGGGTCAGGCGTCGCAATGTGCTTTTGGAAGGGGAGCACTTTAGAAAACTCCATTCCCTCCTCCCAAAGGCGAGTGCCCTGGTCAAGCCCTTGCGTGGGCGTCGACTCGGCCCCGGTGCGGCGCGGTGCAACTGAGGCAGACGCCCGGCCAGGAGGGCTGTGGGCTTTGGTCCGAACGGAACATGCCTTGTGCTCCGGGGCTGAAAGCTCCCTCCCTCCCTCCCCACCTGGAGCGCACGCTGTCCTGAGGGCAGGTGAAGGCCTGCTTGCACGCCCAGTGCACTGCCCCTTGCACGCCCAGTGCACTGCCCCTTGCACGCCCAGTGCACTGCCCCTTGCACGCTCAGTCACCCTGGTGCAACACGAGTGACCCTGGGGGTGGCAGCATTTTGCCCTTGTTTTGCCTGTTGCCTGCCCCCCTCCCCCGGTTGCGGTCTATGACTCAGCCCAGCCGAGCCCTGGGGGGGTTTCGAGGCCCCCCTGCCCTTTGTAATGCTGACACCGATGTGCCCACAGGACAGGTGGGAAACTGAGGCACACTGTGATGCCGGCCCAGGTCCTCCAGATTCATTGATCCTGAGCTTGGTGGTCTAACCACTAGACTCTCCTGCCTCCTGAGTCACGTTTGGCTTCGCTATAGCCGAGCTGTCTCCCAGATCTGGGGACAAGGGAGCAATTCAGCCCCCAGGCAGGCGTAACCGTCTCCCCTCCCCCCAGCCACCCCACGGAAGCAGCGGCGGGAGCGCACCACCTTCACCCGGGCGCAGCTGGACATCTTGGAGGCGCTGTTTGCCAAGACCCGCTACCCCGACATCTTCATGCGGGAGGAGGTGGCGCTCAAGATCAACCTGCCGGAGTCCCGGGTGCAGGTGAGGATGGCGTGACCCTTGGGCAGGCAGGTGTGTGTGTCTGCGGCTGGCCACTCTTCCCCGCTGCATGGAATTGGAACTGCTCGGCGTGTGTCATAAGCCCTACATTGCTGACAGCCAATGGGGATTCTCCATTACAGAGCGCTGAGGTTGGGGATCAGGTCTGAATTCTGTGTGCAGCTCCCAGAGGCTGTGTGGGACTAGCTTGCAAAGGAGGCAGAACAGGAGTTTACGTCCTCTTTGGGGCGCCACGAATGTGCATGAAGTAGGGCGGCTTGTGAGCCCCATGTGGTTCTTCACCCCTGAAAGTGCGGCTCGCGAAGCCTCCCCCGCGGCTCGCAAAGCCGCCCCATGGCCCCTACAAACGGTGCATGGCAAGATGGTAGCGGCCGGAGGGAGCCAAAAAGCCTAACCCGTGGTTTTTAAAGGGGCAGCATCCTTTTTTTTTTTTTTTGCTCAATAATTCTGGTGCGGCTCTTCGCGTTTTTTCGGCGATCTTCGTTTAATGGGTTGGCCACCCCGATGTAGGGGGTGTTTGTCCAGCCCTGAGAGGCACGAGGGGGCGGCGCTCCAAGCCGTGTGGGGCGGGGCGGGAACTGAAGGCCAGGGAAAGGGCCAGGAGCTTTGGGGGTGGCTGTGTCCATGGCAGGCCGGGCAAACTCCCCGACTCTTTGCAAAGTAGCAGGGCTCTGTCATGGCCCTGGGAGGGCTGCAGTGAGTGTCTGTGCTGGATAGGAGCTTTGGGGGTGGCTGTGTCCATGGCAGGCCGGGCAAACTCCCCGACTCTTTGCAAAGTAGCAGGGCTCTGTCATGGCCCTGGGAGGGCTGCAGTGAGTGTCTGTGCTGGATAGCGCCCCCTGCTGTGCCCCCTGCCCCTTCCTTGCCCCACAGCGCCCCTAGTGCTGCCCTGTGGCTTTGGGGTGTGGGAGGGGACGGCCCCCCCCGCTGTGCCCCCTGCCCCTTCCTTGCCCCACAGCGCCCCTAGTGCTGCCCTGTGGCTTTGGGGTGTGGGAGGGGACGGCCCCCCCTGCTGTGCCCCCTGCCCCTTCCTTGCCCCACAGCCCCCCTAGGGCTGC